TTAAGAAGGCAGCTACGGAGGACGTGCGAAACTGGCGCCCGATTTCAATCCTGAATGCGCTGTATAAAATACTCGCCAAAATTTTGGCAAACCGGCTGAAGGAAGCCCTACCAAGCATTATCGATCATACTCAGACTGGGTTCGTGGCAGGTCGCCAGATTTTGTCGAATATTCTACTGGCCCAGCAAATACTGGAGGAGGAGCAATGCACAGGACAGGCTATGGCTTTGTATCAATAGACCTCGAGAAGGCCTATGCAATGCACAGGACAGGCTATGGATTTGTATCAATAGACCTTGAGAAGACCTATGATCGGGTCAGATGGGAATTTCTACTGCGAGGAATGGCGAGAAGGGGAATTGGACCCATTCTGTGCAGTTGGAGTCGTAGTCTGCTAAATGGAGCCTCGATTGTGATGCAAGTTAATGGGGTAAGATCGGATAGGCTGCGAGTTACTCGATCGGTGAGACAGGGGTGTCCGCTTTCTCCCACCCTCTATGTCATCTACATCGAGTCAATGCACGAGATACTGCGGGCCGACAGTGGCCTGATCAGTCTTAAGGTGGGACCAAGAGCGGAACTGCAATCCACAGCCTTCGCGAACGATACGGGAGCAGCGATCGTCCCAACGGTTCAGCAGCAGGACATTTTTAAAGAAGACGTTGCAATCTTCTGCAGGTACTCAGGAGCACGGGTGAATTGGCAGAAATCCAGGGCCATTCTGCCACCAGAGATGGATCCTGGGACATCCCCACAATCGGCAAAGGAGAGCGAATGGCATTTCTAGGGGCCAACTTAACACCAAGCTATGGAGGGATTGAGCAGATGGCGATGCGAGCCACTGCGGCGGTGGCAAGACTACAAGCGTGGAGCACGAGAGGGAGTATGGGGCCTTTTGGAAAGGCTATAGTGATCAAGAGCTCGGTGCTGGCAACCTTCTAGTATGCGGGTGCAATACATATGCCAGGGAGGCGTACCTTCCGCTACATTAGAAGGGCGGTTCAGGCGCATGTGTGGTCAAATAATGCGGAGGCAGAGAACTCCATATGCAGAGTTGCTTGGTGCAAGCTCACCCAACCGAGAAGATTTGGAGGGCTGGGCCTGCTGGACCCGCGCTTACAAATAACTGCACTGCAACTACGTCGACTCATCAGGGTTCTCTTGCACACGGAGGGGGTGACTTGGCAAGAGGTGACGCTGGCCACCAGAAGTTGTCATAAGAACCAAACTTGTGCCGCAGAATGCGGCCAGGTTGAAACGGTCCCCCATTTGTGCGATGTCCAAGGGTACAGGTGTTTCAGGAGTGGTAGGCGCAGGAAATTGCAGACAAGACACAGCTGCAGGTCGATGAAACGACCGATGCAGAGATCTTACTGGGTACCCTGATCAAAGCTTACAGGCAGGGTATGGGAGAGATGGTGGTGGAATAGATTGTAAGGTCAGCTGGGCCCTATGGAGAAACGAAAGATGTACGCAAGGAGCGTCTCCATCATTGCGGGCCTATCAGGAGAGAGCATTGGAGAATATTCGCATGGCCATATTGGCGGACCTGCACCGAAGTAGACGCATACGGGAAGCAAAGGAGGCAGGCTTTTGGCAGAGATGGGCCCTGTTCCCACAGATGCTGACGTGGGACCTTAGCACAGGGCAGCTGCAGTTCGGACCAATCTTGCAACACTATGTGCCTGGACCAGAGAAAGAGGATACAAGCAGCTGTCAGTCAGTAGAATAGAATGACTTTAAGTAGGTAGGAAGTAGGGGGTAATGGGAGGATACGGGGGTAGGAGGAGTTAGGAAGCTGGTAGAAGGCAAAGTAGGGAGGGGGAAGAGGGTAAAGTGCGGATGGAAAAAGGGAGGGGGGGGAGCCAAAAATGGAGAAAAAAGGAAAAGAAAGAGTAAAGGATACGGGTTTAACCTGGATTGATGAACATACTGCTGGGGACAAGACTTAACCTTTTAAAATAAGGGAGGGCTACTGGTTTTAGAATGGCTTTAAAATCAGAGGGCGGTGTAAATACAACAACGTACCGACGATACCGTTATGTCAGCTGTATTTGGAGTATGTTTCAGTCTAAATGCAGGAATAATGACTGTACACTGTATTCGGGTGAAGAAGGTAGTAGCACGGTGTGTAGATGCAGAACAAATCAACAGTAGGTGGTAGAAAGGACAGAAGATTTCAGAAGACAACAAAACTGCAAATCGACAGTTCACCCAGGCAGTTCAGCACGAGAACAGTTTTGCAATCAAGCAGAGCACATTCACCGCACCAGTCAGTGCTTTTACTCAGCCTCGGCCCTCCTTGAACACAGGGATTCAAACCGGTGTCCGCAGCGTCAAGAGTCGAGTTTCTTAGCCACTACAGCAATGGCACGGTGTTCAGAAGTGGATCCATCCCCGCATGATATCCACCCCACCGCCTGCATTGCTGTAGTGTCCTTCAACAAAACAGTCTGTGCAGACCCCGGTCTCGAGGTGGCTTTCCTTGTAATAATCAAAGCCTTGGGCTCTGAGGCCCATATTAAAAAAAAAAAAAAAAAAAAAAAAAAAGAGCCTGTGGAAAGACAGTGGAAAGGAAGGAAAAAGGTGGGCGAAAACGCAAAGGCCACACTGTTTCTCACTTTCCATCAATGGTTCACCAGACAGTTCTGTACGAGAATATAACACAGGACTGGCCGAAAACTTCGTCGAAAAGCACATCCGCAAAGCAGCTGTGGAAAAGATGGTAGAGTGAAGACACAGAAGAGGGGAGAAAGGAAAGGGCACAATGGCTCCATTGCACTCCAAAGTAAGAAAAGGTCTTGGGCATCCACACACGTGCCCAGGACCCCAGACTGAACCGTGACAAATCCTGAAGCAAGAAGATCAGACTGAAGTGAAGTGCTTGACCTATGTTTGTACAGGTGAGATTGCATGCTAACGACTTCGGAATGCCCATCAATGAGCACGATCACACCGGTCCTGAAGCACGGCAGCGACAGCTGGACCAGGGTGTTGCCGATCGCTTTTTCAAACCATGCATGCATGTCACACAGTCCATGGAAATTGGTGGAAAGATCCCGGATTGATCAGACTGCGCATAATAGCGCAGCTTCCACAATGTGCATGACAATCAGGCTAGATGTTTGGAGCTTGGCTGAGATTGGAGCAACGATTGCGAGGCTCAGGGCCTCGACCTGCCCTACTGGGCCCTATTTTCTGCATGGTCGGCCGCCCTAAGTGAAGGCAGGCTCGACCCAGGGCCTACAGGCCTGTTTTGGGGTCACCACGCAACTAAGTAAATTCAGGCAGTTGCGCAGCGTCAGTTGGTTGAGAGCGCCCAGGCCCAGGCTGCCTCTTTTGAATGTAACCGAGGCAGGCCCTGGGCCAGATTCGCAAGATGGACCGAACATAGGCTGCAGGCAGTTGTACACAGGCAACCACCACAGGCCCAGGGCCTGATTCGTTTGGTCTGGGGCTCAGCCTCTCTGGGCCTACCGGAAGCTTCTGGGCAGGGGCCCAGCGCAGCCAAGCTGCACGCAAGGCGGGCAGGCACTTCCATTTAGGAAAGGGCCTGCCCACACATTAGGCATTCGGGCACTGGCTGCATGCTGCGCTAACGCTGGCCAGCGCTCACGCGCTCACGGGCGAGCTGGAAGGAGCAGGCAGCCATAGCCGAGCTGCGCTGCTGTATGCTGGATGGGGCGCATGGTGGTCTTTGGGTGCATGTGGCATCTGTGAGTTGGGGAACGAGGTTGCGAGTCATAAGAGAGACATACCTGGTGCTTGAAGCGAACGGCTTTGGCCGAGATCTGCTCGTAATTTGTGGAGCTGTTGACGTCACCAGCGGCATTGTAGATAGGCTAGATAGGATCTGCCATTTGTAGTCTGGGCGCCGAGCGCCAGATAGGATGTCGACATTGGTTCATTGTTGATGATGATGAGACTACTCGAACATTGTCACTTACGAGCTTTTGCTGTACGATTATTTGGTGGGACTCGTGATGCAATTCTGCTTTTGGTTCGAGGTCAAGACTATCTGGACTTATGTGTATGATGCTGCTTGGTTTCTGATGTTCGCTATCGCTCATTTTCCTTGCACGATCATTCAGGCCAATGTTAACCCTTGCAGGGAGGACACAATGCAAATGTACATCCTCTTCCTCAATGATGGCAGACTCCTTTCACAGGTCGCAAAACCCTAAACCAAAATCCCAAATGCACTTAAATGCAGTTTGCATAAATCAGCTTTTCTGTGACTGCTGGTCTCCAGGCTGGCCTTCAATTTTCCACTGTTGGTTGCAGAGTTTTTGCAGCTTCAGATGGTCTGGACAGTATTCAGTCTATGTATGAAAAAAAAAGCCTGGTTCAATTCTTTAGTACGGCAGTTCCGACTTCTCCTCAGATAGGAGAAGGAAGGAGGCACGTGGGACCACGTCCCATTTGATGGGGGGAGAAGTGAATCCAAAGGCAAGAACCTGACAAGGAACCAGCAATGGTCCGGAAAGTAATCTTGCTCAAGATCACATGCTGAAAGAACCTTTGCTTAAAGGGAATGATGTGTCTATATAGCATCACAATATAACATACATTCATTGGACGGAATTGGCAGTGATCATGATGCTGCACAAGCTGAAGAAGAAGTGCAGCCACTTCTGCTCTCCACTAGAGAGAAACAGGCAATTTTGACGACATTCTGAAAAGCAGTGTGAACAAAGCCACTTTTTCATGTTCTGGCACACTGACATGGGCCCGCTTGGGAGTCAAGGACGACAAACGTAATATGGTCTTCGGGAATTTTCGCATGTTGTGCAGAGTCGCCCAACCTGTCTGACGAGTAGGAGAACAGAACAGGGAGCGCAGAGAAAAACAGCAAAAAGTGCCAGATGTTGAAACAGCCTCCGGATATTTTAAGAACAGACGCTTTGTATGTCTGTCCCACAGTGTCCCCCATCTTATCAGACTTCCACTGGGGCTGGATTGCAAAGGTCTTCCCTCCCCCTAGAGGAGATTGCGCTTACCTCGAGGTCTGCCCACCGGACTCGTTTATCTGTTTTCCCATATGCCTTCATCAATCCTGACAGAGCATTACCTCCATCGTCATCATCACTATCACTATCATCATCATTATCATTAACAATATTATTGCCACCGCCTTTACCACCATTACTGCCCTGCAAATCGCCGCCCTTGCGCTTGCCGGCACCTAAGCCTTCCTGTCGTGGGGACAGCAATGGCCCCTGCTTCGATAACGATGATGACGTCGCTGCTACTGCGCCGCTCAGTTTACCTGCAAAACGCAAACACTCTGTCAGCCCTCGAACCCCACTCCTCACTCCTCTCCCCCCCCCCCCCCCCCCCCCCCCCCCCCCCCCCCCCCCCCCCCCCCCCCCCCCCCCCCAACACACACACACCATGAACTGCTTCATCCCGACTTCAGCCTCTGCGATCATCCTCTGGCAAAATGGCTAATACTAGTAATACAAACTTTCAATACTCCAACCACAGATCAGCTTCATAAACCATCAACAACAACAAGGAACTCTGCAGAGAAGATTAGCAAGGCCCCTGCACAAGGATGGCACACACAAATCAAGAAATGGTCCAAATTTCTCCAAATTCAACAAATTGATAAAAAAGAGGTGATCCAGGTGAACCGGTGGTTTAATGGTTAATACTAAATCAGGTTGCCGCCTGCAGATCGGGCAATGCCCACACACACACAAGATTAGCATGGCCCCTACACAAGGATGACGCACAGAAATCAAGAAATGGTCCAAATTGATTAAAAAAAAGGTGGTCCAGGTGAACTCGTGGTTTAATGGTTAATACTAAACCAGCTTGCCGCCTACAGATCAGGCAGTGCCCACACAAAAACAAACATGAACATGAAAGAGGCCTTTCTAAGGAAGATATGTGCACCACACTTTGTTTGCAAGAATCGACATCACGTCCTCTCTCTCTCTCTCTCTCTCTCTCTCTCTCTCTCTCTCTCTCTCTCTCTCTCT